TAAAATTTCCAAAAATGACCTTTCGGGTCATCACACTTCCAACTCTCATTTCTAAATAAGAGATAAGATAAGACTAGGGTGGGGAGGCCCGTGCTAGCACGGGCCCAACAGACTCACACATAATGTTTAGCTTAAAAAATAATAATAATAGTGACAATAACAAAAATTGGTAAACATTTACATGTGTCAATGAATTATATAATGTAGCAAAGTAGATATTATTAGGAGTTGCTTCTTGTAATGACAATTCTGGCCGAAAAAAATAGAGAACAACTTTCAGTAGAAAGGGTGTAAAAGACTTAAGAGAGCTAAGTTAAAAAATATCAAAGCCTATTGCAACAAATCCCAATGATGCAACATTTATATCAATGACTCAAATTCATATGCCATCGTCACACTTCATCTGGCTTCAAGCTGTGAGCATAACCCAAGTATTTCTTGTGCAAAGACTGATTCAAGTGAGATCTACCAATAATGGAGGTAAATCAATTTACAGACGACATCAAAATGTACAAGCGAAACACAATATTACCAAAATATAAGCACACTGTGCCACATGAATCCAGTGCTTTCTTGGTCATGACCAGCTAAGGCTAAAGTTCTATTAAAGAGCCTTTCCACGTGGTAGAACCTCATCAGGGAATATAAGGTTTTCACGAGGCTGATCCGGTTAGTGGTACAAATAACATAAAGAAATGTAACCAACGTTTATTGAAAAAAACAACTTGTCTTTATGAGAAATTATATTAGAAAGTCATCTCATTTCAATTATATTGAAGTTGTTGATCTAGAAATAAAGAAAAAATAAGCAAAATTACCTGAGAATCATTTATTTCAGATTTGATCTCATAAAGCAAAAATTATTTCAGTAGATTCAAAGCCACAACAATCATTCAGTTCAACATCCACATATTGTACAAAGGAAATGTTTGTACACGAAGCTAAAACAAATATAAAGCTTTCTACATGCTTTATAATTCCTCTACAATAGAACCTGTGAAGCTTATACTTCATATGTGACTATTTCTAGGAATAGGAGTAAATGAATGTAGTCAAACATGTAAAGATTATCATCATAGACAACAACCAAATTAATCATAAAGAAGAAATACTAACAATTGTTTGTGCAAGTAAGACTCCCAAATTGAAGAGAGGCCCTGCTCATTTTTTTGGGTAAAAAGGATTGTTTGCTTTTCAAAAAGTATAAATAAAAAGGAAAAAAAAAATTAGATGGAACAAATGCATTACATATTCTAGAACTACTCATGTATGGATCAGTAACATCTAATTTAGATTAAAAATGAGAGGATGCTCACATATACATAGAAGTGTAGCCACACTTGAGGGGCAAAACTTATTCTAGTGTTGAGATATGTTGAAACCTGTAAACTCGAATGAAAAAAGTACAAACAACTAATCCCAAAAATATCACAAGCATGTAACTTTTATGTCATTCGGTACAGAGTAACAAAGTAGTCGACTCTTGAACAAAGAAGAGATTAGCCAAATCATAAAAATCCACAATCTTAGTGTACCCAACAGAGATCGTCGTAGATATAGAAGTTCAGCAACAGTAAAAAGGACATGTGTTTTCAGAAGCAATACACATGATTATAGCCTAATAGGAGAACGACAAAAGGAATTTAATCACAAATGAAACACTCCCCCGTTAATAGTATAATTCACATAATATGTTGCACATTTTCTCTATGTAGTGTTCGTACACCCCTTCCCCAATAGATATCTTTCATGTTTGAGGAATACACCATGTACATGATATACATTGACAGCGCACTACAAGTCTTTGCGCCTTAGAGAAATCAGTAATTGTTGGTAACCCATGTATCATACAGGTAGAATACATCTCTTAGCCAATAA